ACTTTACGTTTAGTTTAACTTTACGTTTCGTTTCGTTAGTAGGTTACGTTACGTTACTACTACTCGTTCTTAACTTTACTTACTTTACTTACTACCTTAACTACTACTCTCTCTCTCTCTCTCTCTCTCTCTCTCTCTCTCTCTCTCTCTCTATTTTGGACATATTAACTGGTAGGAATGGAACCCTTGATGTCTACCTCGCTTATGTCCTTAATGGTCCTTATGTTGGTTTTTCATACTTCCAGTTTTTTTTGTAGATTATCTTTTTCTTGAAATGCTTTTCCTCTAAATTGTTGTTTTCTTCTCATGATTAATCGTTGCTCTACTTATAATAATGAACAAAAAACTGTCCATCTTTTTGCTTGTTTTCCCATAGGTCATGTTTAGACAGTTAGGATGTGTACACTTGGATTTTGACTAATATCCAATTTTACTATTTGTAGGAGAGGCACACTCATTGAAGGTAGAGAAGATCTTATTTCAGGACAAGTCCCAATACCAAGATGTCATGGTGTTTCAGGTATGCGATGCCTCAATAATAACTCATGGTGAAACCATCTTTATTGTTCATGCATGACACTGTTTTTCCTTTTCACTAACAATGATAATATCGGTATTTCCGTATTTAACAAATTTTTGGTATTATTTTTTGTCCCTTTCAGTCATCGACATATGGAAAGGTGCTTGTGTTAGATGGGGTGATTCAGTGTACTGAAAGGGATGAGTGTGCCTATCAAGAAATGATCACTCATCTTCCACTTTGCTCAATCCCTAACCCGAAGAAGGTCTTCTTTCTCTATTAACAATGCATATATTTTTCTACAACTGAATGGTTCATATGCCGCTTCCACCGAACTCCGAAATCTGTGAGGAAGTCTTAGTCATTTGTAATGTTTATTTTCTAAGTGGGAATAATTCGTCCACTTCTTTAGATGTTACCCATCGAAAAGAACATGATATGCAACATAAAAGCAAACATTAACTGACCTATGATCTGAATTCATGTACTTTTCTGGAACTCTGTAAATTTCATGCTAGGCATCATTTCCAAGTGGTAATTATATTGTGATTTGTTATCTTTCTAAGCAATGTGCACAATTAATAGAATTAGACATGTTCTAGCCTTTTCCCTGAGCATATGGACTCACCAAGTGCGGAGAGTCAACTCAGTGAATCTAAGAAAAGAAAAAAAAGGGAAAAACCTTAAAACTTTAGTAAGTTCTTAGACTTATATTTTATTGAAAAATTTAGAGGATGGTTAAGCCAATTTGATAAATTGATGTAGGAGAAATTTGAAAAACAACAGAAGAACACAATTCAAGCCAAACACAAGCAATAACTTGGAGAAACCTAGGATTTCCTCCTCACCCCAAGCTAGGGTCCCAAAAACCGAAGCTTTTCGTTCTCTTTCAATTTTTTAAAATCATGTGGCATGACCATTTCAAGGCCTCACACACCTCTTATATATAATAATTCAATGTTCATGGACATTAAATGTCCATAGAATAATTAAATGAAAAGAAAAAAAAAAAACAAACTTAAGCACAAAAATTATTAGGACAAACTTATCCCACTGAGCAGTAACCTGTGAATAGTATCTATGACCAGTACATGTGAGTAGTAACTAGTGAATGGTAAATAAAGAATATAAAATAACCCTATAATCCCTAAAGAAACTTAAAAACACTAAAAATAAACCCTAAAACTAAAATTAAGATATATATCCTTTGAAATTGAACAAAAATTGAAAATAAGAATAAATTTTTCCTGCATCAGGGGTTCCATGTTCTTGCCAGAACATGTAAACCATGGATTTGCGTTTCGCCAAATTGCATTGAGAAAATAAGGTGGGTCACTGGTTCTTGAGAGGAACTTGTGGCTGTTTATTGGCTTTGCTATGAGATTGTTGTATTTGGAGAGCTTGGACATCAGTGAACATGTTAGATTCTCTATTTTTCCCTTATATTCATAACCTTTACAATTTATTGTCGATTGTCTTGCTCAAAATATATTTATAGTACATTGTGAACGTTATAAAAATATATGTTATATACATAGTTCATTACTTCTTTTCATGAGCATGTTAAATTGGTGTCATGTATTTTTGGAACAGAAGTTTCAATGCTGAAAGTGACATCTTTTTCCTACATTACAAAGGGTATGGATATTTGCTAGCCATGCATAGGATTATGCAAATCTTGCAAAAATAAAGTAAATGTAAAGGATGTCCAAAATATTTGGCATGTATAAGATGATAGGACTGCTTACCATTTTAGTTAGTGGACAGCTAATGAATCGAACCCCACAGTCAATCTTTGCAAGTGGTGGGATCCCAACTGCTTTTTTATTTTGCATACATAATACAGCCCTAATCATCCTTCTCAAGTTTGTCCACGCCATTTAGGATAGCCCAACACAGTTCATATTTTGCAATGTGCATATTTTGTTTTGTAAATTTCCTATCAATTATTTTATGTTCTGTTATTTTTCTTCTTGTTTTCTTATGACATTTCTATTCAGGTGCTGGTCATCGGAGGAGGTGATGGTGGTGTTCTACGAGAAGTGGCTCGACACTCTTCCATTGAGCAGATTGACATATGTGAAATTGATGCCATGGTTGTTGACGTAAGTGTAATAACTTGACATCGGCATATTTGCTTCCTATGATAAATAAAAAAAAAAACTTGTTTGCTTCCTACATGGGAGGGATCTTACAGTTTGTATTTATCCAGGTTTCTAAGCAATTTTTCCCTGATATGGCGGTAGGCTATGAGGATCCCCGTGTTAAGCTCCACATTGGTGATGGTAATACTTGATATTCGTGCCCATGAAACAACTTTTTCTTGCGATAGTCATTGTTAATGGTCAAAAGATATAGGTATTATTTCATCTGTTCTTTATAATGAGCATCTGCCAGTTCTTATCTCATAGCCAATCAAGATCTAGGTGCTACTTCCTTCTTATACCATCCAAATTCTTAACTAGTAGACCAATTGCAGAAGGTTATGAAGAGAAATATAGAACATGCTTATGACATTCTGAGGCAATTTTAATGGAGGATAAAAGACATGGTGCCCATGGAACAAGAAGCTTATAAGTAGGAAATAAAGCATTAGAAAAGTGCAGATGAAGAAGATTGTGCACATATGTCAAAAGTTGGCTAATGGTTTTTGAGTTTATTACTTCTCTATTGCTACAGGAGTTGCCTTTTTAAAAGCTGTTCCTGAAGGCACTTATGATGCAGTTATAGTGGATTCTTCTGATCCTATAGGTATACTTCTCTTGGTAGTTCTTTCTATTTTACTTATCACATATGTTGCTTTGGTTTCTCATTGCATTTGTACTTTATGATCAGGCCCAGCCCAGGAGCTTTTTGAGAAGCCATTTTTTGAGGCAGTTGCCAAAGCCCTACGCCCTGGTGGAGTGGTCTGCACCCAGGCTGAAAGTATATGGCTGCATATGCATATTATTGAAGATATTGTTGATGTGTGCCGCCAAGTATTCAAAGGCTCTGTAAATTATGCATGGACATCTGTACCCACTTACCCAAGGCATGTTTTTTTAGATTTCCTGATATTATGTTCAAGTTTTATTTTCTGCCCTTCAGATTTCCCAATAGTATATTCAAGTTTTATTTTCTGCCCTCTCTCTCTCTCTCTCTCTCTCTCCTCTCTCTCTCTCTCTCTCTCTCTCTCTCTCTCTCTCGTACTCTCTCTNTACTCTCTCTCTACTCTCTCT